CATTCATTCATTATTGTACTTTTCCCCCGCCCACCCGACCCCTGCCCCCAGATTGCTCCTCTCCTTGAAAAGCAAAAGAAAAACTCCTTCATTGTCTATCTTTAAGAACTCTGATGGCATAGTCTGTAGCATGTTTCACTGCTAGCCATTTGCCCATCTTTCTGCCTCTTTAATACTTTGGGGCATATGCTGCCCTTTTGGTCACAGTGAAGTCAGTTTTAAAGGGTAATTGGGAAAAGAAAGTGATAAAATTATTTCATAATAGATGTGACTTGTCAAGATGGATTCCAGTTGGAATGCAGGAAAACCCCACGAAACAAAGCCAAAAAGCCAAACCCATAGCCAGTGAGTCAGTTATGAGTGTCTCTGTATGTGTGTGTGTGTGTGTGTGTGTGTGTGTATGTGTGTGTGTGTGTGTGTGTGTGTGTCTGTGTTGCTGTTGAATCAACTACAGCTCAGCAATCTGATGAATGACAGCTCTGAACCTTGACTTATACTGTACCAACCTCATCACCTCTGATATGCTTGAGCCCACTGTTGCAGTTCAATCCATCTCATTCAGGATCTTCCTCTCGATGATCCTACACCTTTCCTAGCATATCTTTTTCCCAGGAACTAGCCCCTCCTGGCAACATGTCCAAGATATATGAGACAAAATTTTCTCCTTACCTTTAAAGAGCACTCTGGCTGCACTTTCTTAAACAGACTTGGAGTTTTTGGGGGAGTGTAGAAGAAATGTTACAGAGTGGAACTACTCTATAGGATTTAATGGCTGTGTTCTTGAGAGAAGTGGATCACCAGGCCTTTCTTCCACAGTCTGCTTGAATCCTCAACCTTTAGATTAGTAGTTGAGTGCATACTGCTATCAAATGTAAGATTGGGCTGCTTTTAAATTGGCTGAATCTTCCCAAGTTCACTTCCTTTACTGTGACACCTGAAGGAAATCTCAGTGATAACTATAACTGTAGGATCTCTGGCCTCTGATCCAGGCTTTCCTGTTCACCTCAGTAGGGTTGATTAGAGACTATTAGAAAAGCTGACTTCAAGTTTCTTTAAGAAATGGGAAATGTTAGTGAATCATCCAGCAGATGCTTGAAAATCCATTTATCTTTGCTCCATGTTGTCTATCATAAATCCAGAATCTATCTTGGTATTTTAGGCCCTTAATTATCTGACCCAGTCAATTAATTTAGTCTTATCCAAGCACCAAAGTATATTAGAATAGAAAACAGCCCAAGATCATGTAGTCGCAGACCTAATTTCTATATCTATAAAAAAATAGAGACCCAAAAAGTTTGTCTGACTTTCCCAAACACAAGGACGTGTTAAAAAAACAACACAGGACTAGGTTAGCAATCTCATTCTTAAGGTTTTGTATCAGAAGTAACAATGAGGGGGGGAAAAGCTGACATTTAAATTTGAGACCTGATTTGCTGCTTGCTTAACCTTTGAACTTCAATTTTTTTCATCTGTAAAATGAGGGAGCTCTCGTGGCTTAATCCATAAAGAGCTGCGCTGCTAACCCAAAGGCAGCATCTCTAGTGGTTCGAATCCACAGTGACTCAAGGGAGAAAGATGGACCGTTTCCTCATGTTCAGTTTATGTCCTCACAAAACCTGCCGAGTTGGTTGTCACTTGATGGTAATGAGAGAGATTATTTATCCCATCATCGCTGTTGAACTGCATTTCTCTTTATTATAAAAGTTATGAGGAACCTATAACTGAATCAGGAGGCTGTTATGTGAACAGAGCAGAGGAACACTGAGAAAGGGAGTGCATCAGGGTTGTATTCTCTCTCCATACCTATTCAGTCTGTATTTTGAGCAAGTTATCAGAGAGACTGGACTCTGTGAGGAGGAATGTGGCATCAGAATTGGAAAGAGACTCATCAATAACCTGCGTTATGCAGATGATATAACTTTGCTTGCTGAAAATGAGGAGGACTTGAAGCACTTGTTGCAGAAGATGAATGAATGCAGTCTTCAGTATGGGTTGCATCTCAATATCAAGAAAACAAAGATTCTTACCACTGGATCAATAGGCAGCAGCATCATGGATGGAGAGGAGATTGAGACTGTCAACAGCTTCATCTTGCTTGGATCCACATTTAACACCCTTGGTACCAGCAGTCAGGAAATAAGGAGACGCATTGCACTAAGAAAATCTGCAGTTAGGGACCTCTTCAAGTCATTGAGAAGTAATAATGTAAGTTTGAGGACTAAGGTGCATCTGATTCAGGCCATGGTATTTCTGATCACACACTAAGCACCTGAGAGCCAGACAATGAATAAGGATGACAGAAAAAGAATTGATGTCTTTGAGCTGTGATGTTGGAGAAGACCACTGAACTTCCATGGATGGCCAAGAGAACAAACAGATACGTCTTGGAGAAGGTGCAGCCAAAGTGCTCTTTGGAGGCAAGAATGATGAGGCTTTGCCTCACATATTTCAGGCATGTTGCTAAGAGGGGCTATTCCTTAGGGAAGAACATGATGATGGAAAGGGTGGAGAGTAGGCAAAGAAGAGGAGGACCCTCAACTAGGAGAACTGACTAGGTGATTGCTGCAATGGGCTCTTGTGTGTCAGGAAGTGTGAGGATGGTGCAGGATAGAACAGGGTTCAGATCTTTTGTTCATAGAGTCGCTATGAGTCATGCTTGACTCGGTGACACCTAACAACAACATGACCATGCTTGCCATTATGACTGTGTAAATTATTACCTAAATTATTTTTAACTCTACTCGTGAACATGAAATGTTTCTGTTTTAATTTTCGTAAGTATTTATGCAATAACTGTATTCTGGAAGAATTGTTTTAAAGAATGTCTAGGAGGCCTGATACCCTATAGTACAACTACTACCACAATTAAGGTATATTTTTTGCTTTCTTTTTTTTTCCCTATAATTATATTTTATTAATTTTCATAAACATTTACAGAGATTTTGGGTTTCCATTCATTCATTGTTGCACTATTCTCTCTACCCTCCTCCCAGTTTGTTCTTGTCCAAATGCCACAGTGCTTGTCAAAGCCAGTTCTGATTAATCTTCTTTGTCTGTGTGTCCTTTGCCATTCCCTATCACTCCTCCCTGAGAGAGACTTCACCCTGAGTCATAAGGAAAAGGGGATGGCGTATTCTCTTAGCTACTTCCTGCTGAAAAGGGACGCTGTGGGTTTCAGGGTGAAGATCTTCTCTCACTACTCTAAAGGGCCCCTTTGGCAGTAGGAAACACATAGACTATTATGGAGATTGATTTTGGAATTTAGATGCACTCTTATTGATTCTGCTTGGCCGTACATGTTCATATCCTTGAAGATGTATCATGGGGGTGTTGCAACCTAGAAGACACAAATTTGACTAACAAGTTATAAGTACATGAGTCAAAAATTATGGAAAAGTAAAAGAAAAGATTCTTTCATTGTTTTACAAACCCTCCCCCAGGTCCCCTCCACCATGTAGCCCTCGCTCTAGTCTCCTGTGATGACAGAAATACCTAGTTATATTATTTTTTGCTTTCATAACAGTTAATAAGTTCATAGGAGAGGTCACAAAGTTAAGGGGGGAAAAAGATGCCCGAATAAAGAATCCAAATAATTCTATTGCACAAATAGCTTTTTATTAGTCTTCCTAAAAGATTCCTGCTAGTAAATCCAGATGCACAAGAGGGCACACTCAGCATATGAAATTGCTTTATATTGTATAGCAGAAACATTCATAATAACGTAAAGATTTTCTTCTCAAGAAACAAACAAAATAGAAACCAAACAAAAAGCCATCCTTTCTATTTGTTAAGGAATTTGCTTAAACTGGCTTTTCCCCAGACACTCCAGCTTAGGCTCTAACTTGTAGACAAGTGAATTTAGGTCAGGGCTTCTCTGTTCTATTACCCTTCCTTCTGTGTCCCCCAGCTCTGCTGCAACCAGTGTAGCATTGCAATAAGGGAGGAAGGAAGCAGGGCCAGTGTATGCTAAGTTAGTCTTCCACGTGAATGGCACATATTTGCTCTGTGGCTTTAGGAACTTTACCTATCCTCTTCATCTGACTTTTAGAACTTTTCTAAAAAAGGGGAGGGGTTGGAATTCCTCAAACTAATGCCTTAATGTCTACTAATTACATATTAAATTCTCTCTATTATGGAGAATTATTTTTATTAGGCATCGGCATACTTTGAGCATGTTGTCAGTAGGGGCTGGTCCTTGGAAAAAGATATCATTCTGGGAGAGGTAGAGAGTCAGCAAAAGAGAGGAATACCCTCAATGAGATGGATTAGAACAGGGGCTGTAACAATGGGCTTGAGCATGTTGGAGATAGCGCCAGATAAGGCAAAGTTCAGATCTATAGTTCATATTGACTCATAGTCAGCTCAAAGGCATGCAACAATGGCATTCCAGATAGGTGTAAAGGCTTTATCTAGGTTTCTTTTTCTATTTTACTTTTTTTTTTTAATTTCCACTTTTTCATTGTTGTACACTTTCCTTCTTGCCCACTCCATCCCTCAGTTTGTTTTTCTCTTTGGAAACTAAAAAAAAAAATTTCTTTCATTGCTATACAATCGCTCCTCTCCCAGTCCACGCCACTATGCAGCTTTCATTCTGGATTCTTGTCATGACCATAATACCTAATCATATATTCCTCCTAAACAGTTTTCTCCCTCTTCAGTTTTGTAAATTAATGCCTGCCACAATTTTTTGAGATAGTTGTTAACAAGCCAGTTTTTATTAATTTAAAAAAAAAAGAGTTAATGTACATGTATGATCTGGTAGAGTACCTGCCATATGGTAAGCATACACACTATTCCACTTGTCAAATTACTTTTGAATCATGGTGACCTCATGCATGCCAGAGTATGACTTCTCCGCAAGGGTTCCCCCCCATAATTTTTTATTATTTGAGTGAATGTTTACAAATCTCATTTTTTTTCATACAATAGTTCATATACATTTTGTTTTATACTATTAGTTACAATTGCTAACATAATTAATTACAATATTTACTCCATCCCTTATTATGTATTGGTGTTCCCTCCACCGACTCTACCTACTTAATTTTTAACTCCTCTTCTCTTCCCAAGCCTGCTGATACTCCAAAATAGATTCTCTAAAAACAAACAAAACAAAACAAAAAGAACAACCCTCAAACTCATTGTCATCGAGGCAGAACCAAGCATAATTGACTGTCCAGCTGGTTTTGGGGGGCTGTGAATTACGCAGAAGCAGATTGCCCACCTTTCTCCCATGGAATCGCTCTGGTGGATTTGAACCACCAGAAAGGTATTGTCTTTGCATTAGTAGCACAACTCCCTATGGACTACCCCACCTGTATGTAAACCTTGACTTAGCTTTTTATAATAGTGGTGTTACACCATGCGAGTCTCTTTTTTGAATTGATAAATTCTATCAAATACTTAAGAAAGATATAATATCAATCCTACAGAGACTTTCAGAAAAGATATTAGGAAGAAATACCTTTACTCCTTTTCTAAGGTGAACACTGGGTATAGAAAAACAGATTATAAAGAAACTACTATGGAATTTTTAATGGCTGATTGTTTTGGAAGTAGATCACCAGCCCTTACCTGATTGGCACATTCTGCTTTTGGGTTGAGTGTGCCTTACTCACCAATTAGGAGATCCTGTTTTTCACTTAGAATCTGATCTGAATAGATACTTTGCCCTCATTTTTGCCTGTGAAAAATATGAAGGAGCCAGGGAGAAAACATATACTATTTGGAGAAGAAAAAATAATGGAAACCAATTGCAACATATGACACTTAAGTGTGTCTTTGGACACAATATGTTGCTGTTGTTGTTGTTATGTGCCATGGAATCGCCTGTGATTCATAGTGACCCTGTATACAACAGCCCTAAATCGGGCTCTATCCTGTGCCAATCTCACTGTCTGTGATACACCTATCCTCACTACCCCATCACTGAATCAATCCATATCATCGAGCATCTTCATCTCTTACGCAATATGGTGATGAGAAAAATGCTTGCTTTTTGTTTCAGGGCCATCATGACCCATGCATCTGTGCCAAAGAGTGACAGAGCTACCCTTGGAATTAGTGATACATTGATTCGACTCTCTGTGGGCTTAGAAGACAAGAAAGACATACTAGAAGATTTAGATCAAGCTTTGAAGGCAGCAGTAAGTTTTATATATTATAATGATGATGATGTTGATGATGATTGTGTGTGTGTTTTAATCTTGGGAGTGTGGGGCACTATATAATAATGACATGATTTCTTCGTGAACATCAAAGGCTTTCTCTTTTTATAATAGATAGGATGTATAAATGTGCAAAATACTTGTCATGGTACTAATATAAGACTGATAGAATTCACAGAAGTCTTCTTAGAGGAGGTGAAATCTTTGCCTGCAAATTTAATAACATCCTTTTCTTATGCATGTTAATATAGCGCCCGTGAAGTCACACCTCATATTCCAGAACTCTTTGTAGAAGCTGCTGCTTGAGAAGATCACGTCTTCCGAATAATCAAATGGAACATTAATAAGCCTTCACAGAATTTTCAAGTGAAAATTTTAAAGCACCTCATTACCTTTCAAACTGCACCTTTCCAGGGATCATTCCTCTTAAAAACAATTCTTGATTCTCTTCCTGTAATTGACAAGTCAATTCTGTTAGTATCTTTGTCTCTGAAGGATGTGAGATTTGTGCTGCTTTGCGGGATTATGTTCCTTATTTCAAAGCTTGAGATATATTTTGATTATGTTTACAATGTGATGGTAGTTAATATTTGATGTTTTTCTGAAGAATTTAAATTATTAAATGGACATTCTTAAATGTGATTTTTGCATATTATTGATGCTTTATCACCACAAGCCAAAAACCAGATACTTGAAAAGTCTACTGTGAAAATCTACTGATTTGTTTGTACTTAATATTTTTCAAAAAAATAAATCCAATTACCAAACCTTTCTGATTGTGAGATTGTGTACTATGTGACTTTAGGCTTTATTCATGAGTGCTTTGAATTTGCATATTCTGCTCTTAGAAGCCTCAGCCTTTATGTTAATTTTAATACCACAAGAATTATTAGGCTTAGTTTTTGTATGTTAGTTGTAAATTGTGCATGTGCTAGGTAATAACCACTTTTTAAAAAATAACCAGTTTTTTACAGTGAGAAATACAATACTGTTTTTGCATTTTTATTTGAAACAGTAAATTTGTTGAGAGTAAAGGAGGACATGTTTAAAAGAAGTCTTTTGACTTTGTTGCAAGTTATTTTTAATAAGCCAGATATCAAATAATTAGATTTTTAAAATTTGATTTTTGTATTAAAGACATTTAGTCTTCTAATATATGCGATAACTGCAAGTCTATAGTACAAAAACATAATTTTTAAAAAATAGCCTAGTAGTAAGAAGTTGCACTGCAATCCCAAAGGCATGAGGTTCAAGCCCCCAGCTGCTCCATGGGAGAAGGAAAGGCAATCCTCTTTACTACTTTTGTGATTTACTACTTCTACAGACCTACTGGATGGTCATCTCTGGCTTAGTTCCTATCTGATGGCAGATAACAAGCAAAAACAACTCCATATATGACATCTTGCTTCTGCTCTTTGTTTCTGTTGAAAGAAGTGTATCATTTAGCCTGATAACTAATGGTACCGTGTAGGAAGAGAGTACTGCAGAATTTTCTTTCTTTTATATAGTTCACATTCTGAAATATGTGTATAAAATCAGAACCATTTACCACAGAACGGGGTCTGACTTATGGCAACCTTGTGTGTCAGAAGTGGAAGTGGACTCCACAGGGTTTTCAGTGACTCACTTTTCAGACAAAAGTCATCAGGCCGTTTTCCCAACGTGCTCTTGAGTGACCTCAAGTCTCCAGATCTTTCAGTTAGCAGCCAGATGTGTTAACCATTTGCATTGTTCAGAGATAGAGAATTATATGTAGGTTGTTGTGTACCACAGCGTTGGAACTCACCCATAGTTGACCCTCTGGTGGGTTTTCAGAGGCAGTTAATTGCACAGGAAATTGCCCATGTTTCACCCATGGCGTGGCTGGTGGTCTTAACCCATGTACCTTTAGGATTGCAGTGCAGCTTCTTGCCACTAGGCCATCACAGATCCCTAGTTTTATGTATTGTTGTGTACCCTAGAAATGGAACCTACTCGCAAGGAAGTGCAACTACAATCCCAGAGGCGAACGGTTCGAATCCACCAGATGCTCTGCCGGGGAAGGAGGGACAGTCTCCTCCTGTACCAGTCAGATCCAGTTTGACGGTACACGCACACACACACACACACACAAAAATAAATAAAAGAATTAAACAAAAAAAAAGAAATGGAACCTACTCATAGCTGATCCTCTGGTGGGGGTTTTCAAAGGCAGTTAATTGCATGAGAGGAGATTGCCCATTCTTCTCTGGCAGAGCAGCTGGTGTCCTTGAACCATGTGCCTTCGATTGCAGAGCAGCTTCTTGCCAGGAGGCCACCAGAGCTCTAGAATTTTATGTATAGAGTCGGTAAATTGAATCTCTGTGGTCACTAGCATTTGAAGCCACAGACCGGGCTTCTAGTGAACCAGGGGATCGTAATTAAGCAACGTCTGTACTGCCTGTGGAACTGATGAATTCCAGCTGCCAGGAGTGCCACCTGTGAGTTAACAGCACAGCTCCCTACGCACTCTACCACCAGTGCTCTCCATCTTTTGAGAGTTCGACCATGCTCTGAGAATTGTGAGGAAGGCACAGAATTGGACACAGTTTTCTTTTGCTGGACATCTGGATACCATGAATTGGAGCCAGCTTGACCTTCCCCAACAACACAGTCTGAAGGAGCCCTTGTGGTGTAAGGTATAATGCGTGCAAAGCTGTTAACCACTAGGTTGGTGGTTTGTAACCTCTAGCTGCTTTACAGGAGGATGATAAGCTGTCTTCTGCCAGGTTTTACAATGTTGCTGGCCTGTTAGAAGATCATTATGAGCCAGTATTGATTGGATAATAGTAGAATTGGTGGTTTTGATTCTCCTCCTCTGGTCCTTTTTCAGAGAACTTATTATTGTGTTTGCTAGGAATCCCTGTTGGTACAGTGGTTAAAGTACCCCGCTGCTAACCCCAAGGTTGGTGATTTGAACCCACTAGCACCCTTGTTGGGAGAAAGAGGTGGTAGTTTGCTTTTATAAAGATTTTCAACCTTGGAAACCCTTTGAGACAGTATAGTGTCATTTGAGTCAGAATGGACTTTACAATGTTTTTTATTTAACATTTTAAAAAAATTTTGTTTATCTGCAGTTTTTGGCTCTCTGCAATAATATTTCTCTCCGTTACATAGTTCACATGGAATGCCTGAATGCCCTCTTCACAGTACATCTTATTTTGTAGAGAACATCACTGGTCAATCAGGTTAGATGAAATCAGGCTTGTAATCCATTGTCTTGATGGAATAATTTTATATCATACAGTATGTAAAATTCCATTGTATCTTGTTTTCACTACATTGGCTGTTGAAATTCTTAAGAGTAAAATGATTATCTCACATAGAAGCTGTTGGATACTATGGCACACATCATCCTGTTTGTAATTTATTCGAAGATTAATTAAATTTAATAGAAGATGCTTTCCACTTCCTAAACAACATGCCTCCAGAAACTCTATGAACTTGATAAGTGTTGATAGTTGTAGAGGAGCTTCATTCAGGCCTTTTGTTCATAGGGTCCCTATGAGTCAAGTTTGACTAGAAGGCAATCAACAACAACAACAACAATATGGAGGATATAAAAATACAATTTTACTTCATTTGTGACTTAATTTGTATCTGAGAGCTAATTCATGCAGACTTCCAGCTGTTGTCAATTAAAATGATAAAAGAAATTAGACTAACTCTTATATGCATTACCTTTATTGTGATTTTTTTTTTTAGATTTTCTGTGAATTCTGTTACATATAAGGTGAGTGAGACGTTCATTATTTTGGACTTTTGTGAAAGGAGCACTACCAGCTCTGAGGGGTGAATAAGAAAGTGACAATGACATATTGAATAATTAGAAAAAATTAAAACTGTTAAAAATAACAGCTGGTGTGCCCCTCAAGTTGGAACCGACTCACAGCTGTGTCTCCAGTGGGTTTTATTTTTTCTTATTTTATACATTATTCTGGATGCTGGACTTTATGAGGAGGAATGTGGCATTAGGATTGGAGGAAAACTCAACAACCTACATTATACAGATGACACAATCTTGCTTACTGAAACTGAGGAGGACCTGAAGCACTTCCTGCAGAAGGTCAAGGACAGTAGTCATAAATATGATTGAAGCTCAACGTTAAATAAACAAAGAATCTCACCATTAGGCCAATTGGCAGCACCATGATAGATGGAAAAGAGATTGAGATTTTAACAATTTGGTAATCTTAATGTTCTATATTTTTTTTTTAGTAATTTTAATGAGCATTTACAGAGATTTTGGATTTCCATTCATTCATTGCTGCACTTCTCTCCCTGCCCGTCCCTCCTCCCCGTCTATATTTTTATAAGGTGATATTTTTACTTTTTGTTTTCTGTTTCTCCTAAAGTGAAAATTTTTGTACATTATAATACTTAATCAGTTAATTATTCTGGCAGACTTAAACTCTGATGGATTTAAAGAAAATTTCAGGGAAAAGGAATTAAAACTTGTTTTAGGAAAATATAAGAGAATGTTGTTGTTGTTGTTAGGTGCCGTCGAGTCAAGAATGACTCATAGTGACCCTATGAACAAAAGATCTAATGCTGACCTTTCCTGTGTCTTCAATATTTCAGACCTGCTCAAGCCCATTTTAGCAATCACTTTTAGTCACACCTAAAAAACCCTTTTTTGCAACGTAAAGTAATGTTCATAGATTCCAAGGACATCTTTGGGTGTGGAGGGCGCTTGTTAAATCTTCTAATTTTAACATTTTTCTTATTTTATGGAAACTAGTGATGTTGGCTTAGTGGTAAGGCATTGTGCTGCCCAACCCAAAGCACAGGCATTCACATCCACCAGACTCCTTGGGAGAAAAATGGGCAATGTCTTCCCATGCAATTTACTGCCTCTGGAAACCTGCTGCTGGTAGTGGCTAAACTTAGGTGTAATCTCTCAACACCTCTTATTCATTATTGATATGCTGTTATGGCTAAATACTACAGAGTTAGAGCTCACTCATGGCTGACCTCCTCTTCGACATTAATTGCTTGCTGTCCTGTTAAACTTTGCTACAGTTACTGGGGTGAATAATGTCTCACTGTGGTTTTGACTGGCATCTCTCTTATTGCCAGTGATTTGGAGCATCCTTATATGTTTGTTGAACATCCAAATGTCTTCCTCTGTGAAAAGTTTTTCAATGTTTTTGTCCATTTTTTTAATTGGGGTACAGTATTTTTTTTAACTGGGTCCCAAGTATTTTATTTAAGAACAAAGTAAAAACAGCTATGAGATATCATCTCACCCCAGTCAGAATAGCAAAATTTAACAGAACAGCAAGCAACAAATGCTGGCCAGGTTGTGGAGAAACTGGAACCCTTATTCACTGTTGGTGGGAGTGTAAAATGGTGCAACCACTGTGGAAGGTGGTATGGCGCTTTTTCAAAAAGTTGCAAATAGAGATACGATTTGACCCAGCAATTCCACTACTGGGAATATACCCCAAAGAGACCATAACTGACATCCAAGCAGATATATGCACACCCATGTTTATAGCGCCTTTATTCACAATAGCAAGGAGTTGGAAACAACCCAAGTGCCCATCAACAAACAAATGTATAGAGAAGCTGTGGTATATTCTCACACAATGGAATACCACCCTCAATTGAAAAACAACTCATGCAATTTTATTCAGAATGGGTGACCCTGGAGGACATTATGCTGAGTGAAGTATCTCAGTCACAAAAGGACAAATACTTTGGTGTCACTGTTGTAAAACAGGACTGACCTCAGGGTTGGGGGTAGACTGAGAAAGATGGGTTCAATAATGTATACTGCATTGAAACAGATGATGGAGAAAACTGTTTAAAAGGGATATGTGAGTAGGTGTTTTTGTCATGACAGGAATCCAGAGTGAAGGCTGAATAGTGGAGTGGACCTGGGGGGAGGGTTTGTAAAACCATGGAAGAATTTTTCTTTTACTTTTCCAAGAGGGTAGTGTATTAGGGAGGAGGGTTGGGAGGGGAGAAAAGTGAACAATGAAGGAATGGAAATCCAAAGTCTCTGTAAATTTTCATTGAAATTAATAATAATTTTTTTAAAAAGAACAAAGGATTATTTTAATTAAGATGAATTGGGAGTTAATTATCAATATCTTCACACTGAATTTTACCTTTTCTCAAAAGTTATCCCAAATTTCTTAACCCCTTCGTGTCCTCCCCTCGATTTCTTCCTTTCTTAGTGAAGTGGGAAGGCTTTTTACACCAAAAAGCTCTAGTACAAATACTAGGGTAATTTCCAAATTCTCCCCTTTTTGCCTGTCACCCACTCTAGGAAGGACTAGGCATTTCAATCAGTTGGAATATAAGGAAAGGCTCACAGGAGATGGGGAAGGCTTCCCCCCAGGGAAAGGGACAAGGGGGGTACAGAGCGGTAAAGTGGGGGCTTCATAGTCTGGGGTACCAAAGGAAAAGGCACCGGTTCTCCTGTGAAAGGAGAACCAGCAGGCTCAAAATCCTCCCTGAGAGTAGTCACCACCTGATGGTTTGCCCTTGTGACACTGGTTACAGAACTACACTTGTGGGAGCTCTAGTGGCCTAGTGGCAGGAAGCTGCACTGCAATCCCAGATCTGCATGGTTCAAATCCACCAGATGCTCTGCTGGAGAAGGAGGAACAATCTCCTCCTGCACCAGTCAGATCCGATTTGATGGTGCACATACAAAAATAATAAATAAATAAAATAATAAAATAAAATAAAACATTAAAAAAAAAGAACCACACTTGGACCACATTGTTCTCTGGCCCAGGCTACTGGGCAATGTTGATCTGCTGCAGGGTGGGTTCAGGGCATGCAGGAACAGGCTCTCCAGGCTGCCTCTCACTGAGTCTCAAGCTTGTCTGCTTTCACTTTTGGGCCTGCTCCAGGAAGGTCTCTGTTTTGCATATCTCTTGAAGGTTTTTGGTGTTATCTGCCTCCTCAACACATTTCTGTAGCAGGGACTGCTGCTTATACATGTTCTTGAACTGATCAGCAGAGTCTCAAAGTGATAGATGGTTGTTTGGCTAAACACTTTCCCAAAGATAACTCCCAGAGTAAGCCCCACATCAGCTTGAATATATCCTAGAATGATCCTCTTTTTAAGAGTTTAGCAAATTGCTCCTCTTGTACACTTTTTCAGCAGAAGAGGGAGCAGCACTGGGCTGGGGAAGGCCCCCCTCTGACCTGCTCTCCACCCCAGCCCTGCCTTACTGTCTGCATGAAGAGTCTAAGGGCCACCTTGGGGCAGCAGCCTCAAGCCAACCTGAAGTCCACAGTATGTCATGCTTCCATAGAAATCGTATGGAAGGAGGCACACAGGAATGCCCCATAACTCAGCACCAGGTTCAATTCCTGACCCACTCAAGGTATCCTGGAAGCTCAGGCAGGCTTGCAGGTCAGCCCAGCCTGGGTTTGGCCCAGGTCCTCCTCCTCCTGGCCCTTCATCTCCACCTCCCGTGTGTGGGCAAAAAGATGAAGTTGAAGTCCACAGTCAGGAATCCTGCCACGGTGAAGTGAAGCACCTCAATCTGAGGGCCCGAGGAGAGAAGGGCTCTTGGATGGACTGCTCCAGACCTCTCTCCCTCCCCTATTCACCCACTATGGTCTTTTTCTTGCAGAGGCCTTGCAGTAGTCTCTAAATTTATGAGACTTTTGAGGTGGTATTGCCAAATGTTTTTTTTCCAAGTTGGTAGGTTTTCTCTTCACCTTGTTGGAAAAAGCTTCTTATACACACAGGGATTGAATATTTAGAAGGTCTCATTCATCAGTTTTATCCTCTTCTGGTTGTGTATAAGAAAACCATTTTGATATCATC